CGCCTGCCTTCCCGGCCTGGGTTGCCTGCCTGCCTCTTCCTCCTCCTCCCTTTCCCCGTTCCTGCCTTCCTAGATTATCACAAATCACTTAGCCCTCACGTGGCCCACAGTGCTCACGATAGTACAGATATGATACCGGTACAGTACTGGTACCACCCCGGATACACCACATCTTTTCTGACCAGTAAAGACACGCTCCAACCAAGCATGCGCAATGCAAGATTTTCGCATTGGCACATTAGAGTAAATTTATTTTGGAAAAAGCGCGGGCTACAAAAACTATCCCACGGCGGGGAAGAGCATGGCGTGGTCCGGGCTGGTCTAAGGAACAAGTCCCTGTTTACTCTAGTACTTCTTGTACCCTGGTACTTGTACCAACGTAATTTGTTATATTACTTGTCTATCCCATCTCAGCTCTTGACTACCCTCCCGGTTCTGGCCCCGGCTTTGGCTTTGGCTATCTGGTGGAGGTCGAATACTGAGATGGGTTGAATGTAATGTAATAAAAATAAAAAAAATGTCTGCCTCGATCTGAATTCGTGAAGCTCTATAGGATGGAAATTGGGGTTATAGAGAGGGGATTTTGCTGGAATTGCACGGATATGATAACTATGGCCACAAGCATTGTAATCATGAAAAGAGACTTTTATGATTTACTGGATTACAGGTTCTGGGTAGAAAATCGAGTATAGGTTTCCTCATGCCCCCCCACCCACGCTTCTTCCCTACACCCCCGAGGACTGGGAATACTTTTATCCTTTGGGTTTTGGAGCTGGGTTTAGTGGATCGAGAGCGGGAGTGAGAGGAGCCTTAACGGTTGAGGTCAAGCTGCGTTGTGTTGACCAACGGTACTGTACTTCTAACGTTATGGGTCCTTACGGAACGGGGGGGGGTCGAAAGGATAATCCACACGTGAGCGATTTCGAAGTGGAGACCGGCTTTTGGAAGGATTGGGATGGATGGGCTATAGCGGCCGCAGCCAGCGGCAGCAGAGTAGTACAGCCCCAGCACGGTGCCGTATTCGTGCCAGTCCAAAGTCTCGAACCGTACGAATCTTGAAATGTGGAAACAAAATTGAACTGGGGTGAGAAAAAAAAAAGGGACGTGGCCATGCGGGGACGAAACTTGGATCAACGGTTTTTTGGTCGGTCTGCAACATTATCCATCTATCTTGTGGTATATGCAGGTTTCCTGCATTGTGGAACATACTCGAGTACTGAACCGTACAGCATCTCCCCCTCGTGTCTCTGTTTCCCTCCTTCACGGATGTTCATGTTCTATGCGGGTGTTCGCTTCACGGGTAAGTACAGTACCCTAGCGTATCACAGGGTAGGATCGTCACTCTCCCTCAGGTTCGCCCGTGGTCAATGCGGCAGGTACAAGATTGTATCTGAATCTATTTTTTATCACACCGTCATCATCACCGAGGACGCTGCGCTGCGGGAGAGGGGGGGGCGATGGATTAGCCCTACCGTACTTGCAGGAATTGAAAACTGCGATGGTTTACAGGAGTAAGGTACAATATCTGTTGATACATACTGCATAGTGCGGTGCGAGTACTATACTAGTACTTTTGCAGTACATCAGGGATGCAATCTCGATCACTCGCCTTACATTTTTTTCTAAAAAACGTGCAGCGAGAGGGCCCTAAGAAATCCCGGAATGGAGAGGTGGTGGTGGTAGTGGGTGCAATTATCATACAGTTGGCATCAATCGGATCAGCATTGCGGCAGTCAAGCAATGCGACGAGGGAGAAACCAGGGGAAACTTTGCAATGTTCGTGCCGGCACGTTAGAAGTTAGAACCCTCCTCGAGTCTCATGGAGAATAAAGAAGGCTATTCCTAATACGGTGATTAAATATACCTAATTAGGGAGTTCCTCTGGGCTAATTATTAAGAAAAAACATGTTTTCCCATGCAGCGAACTTGATGGCCTCCACAGCACCAAGGAGAGGACTAAACGAGAAAATAGCTCTGTAAATATGTCTCCAATAACCAATTATGAAAAATTGTATTTATAGGTGCTGTTGACGCAAGTCGGAATATCCGTTAACGTTGGGTGTCATAAAGCTACGGTGGGTTCTAAGGTGCCGCCACTATGCGGTGGCGGAAAGCTGGCCCGGACATGCCAAAGCTCACTCCGCTTCGGAATAACTGGTCGTGTTGTGGACGGTGATGAACAACCCCCCCCCACCAATGTCTGCTACATACTCGAGTACAATGCTATTAGAGAACTTATCTATCATATTTGTGCCTCACCGCGCAGCACGGCAGATTCGAGGAGAGCATGAAAGTCGATGATCTGCTTGGAGTCTTGTGCATTGTGACCGTGCGCACATTGCGCAAAGAAACCAAGCAGTAAAGGCCAGGGCTCCCTGTAATATTGGGGGAAAACCCACGGTGAGGTTCAGTACCGTATCTTACCTGTACGAGTACTCGAGTAGGTACAGTACGTATCATCGGAGGAAGAGAAGGCGGAGGTGGGGAGGGACGGCGGAGGGTTCTTGTCAAAAAAAAAAGGTCCGCCGTTAGATGTTGTACTGTATTGTACTGTGCTGCACTCTTACCGAATTGTCCTCTGCCACAGACTACCGTACACTCCGGCGCTGCCCATAAACCGCTCCACGGCACTACTGATGACAAGGGGGAAGTGGGCTGGGGATACTCGAGTACTGTACTCGTACAATATGATAAGTCGAATGCTTTTTCCTTGTTCTCTCGGCTAATGTACATTACCCTCTGAGCTTTGAGGTTATTCAAGTACCGTGCTTTCATTGGAGCACTTCTATCATACCTGTACTCGAGAGTGCATTTTTTATGGATAGGGTGCAAGTACGGTAGAACTCTTCCCAGTCTGTCGTCTTTTTTGTCCCGTTTATTTTTTCCACGCGCTTTAATTTCCCTACCCTGCTGGCACCAACTCGCTTTATTTGAGCGAGCAAGATCTATGACATGCAGAACAGAGGAGCAGACAATGTGATCAATACGGTAGACCGTGATACTCCTAGACTAGACTACCGTAAACTAGACTAACGACTACTGTAGGCTAAGGAAAGTGGTTTTCGGGCCGAAGATTTCTTGCAATCAATCGTCCATCACGACATGACACTATATTTCGCTCAGGGCTTGGCGATGTGCCTATTTAGGACGACCAGTAGAACCCCGATATCCAATTGGTGCATTTCCCACCACACCATCACGCCCAATAAAAGAGAACAGCCAACCAAGGCTTCAGAATGAACTCTTGACCCCATGCGGGCGCGTAGGAACTTGCACAAAGCTGTGATATGCGAGAGGCGCTTCATCCCCCAATCCTGGCACACATGTGCGAGTAGACTGGGTGAGTGAAAGTGGAAGAGACAACAAGCGTTCGCTGTTGGCTGGTTTATGCCGGGGGGGGGAGATGGAGGGATGGATACAGGAAGATGGAGGAATGGATGGAAGGGAGGGTGTAAGTTAATCTGTTGCAGGTACAGTACCTCAATTTTAGTGATACCCCCCCCCTTTCCACATCGTCTTCCTTTTTTTCTCTTTCTTTTCTTCTTTCTCTTTCCTTCCCTGCTCTCCGGTATTTCCACTCCATTTGCCTGTTCTCTGCGATTTTTGATGGGATTCCTTCAGATACCGGTACAGTATCGCAAAAGCCTTTTGAATAGCAATCGCAACCACCAACAAGCTGATTTCAGGCTCGTTTCGGCATGCCTCTGCAAGGTAATTGAAATAAAGATAATTTAAAGGGCGGCAGGGGAAGCAACAGATAATAACCCCCAAACTAAGTAATTCTGTCACACACCGTTACAACACTCGCTCGCTTGAAGGGTGAATCCCTCTTTGTTCGACCTCTCTCACCTGTCTGGCTCTTGCCTGGTGTGATTTTCTTTTTTTTCCCTCCTCTCCCACCACCCTCCGACTGTAAGAGATGCTGTGAATCAACCACCTCTACCCGTTTGAACTACCCTACTCGAGTAGGGACAGGGCAACCACCCACCTCAGCGCTTGTGGTAGTGTAGCAGTTACTTAAGTGATCTGTCCCCGCTGCCCTCCCCATCTACTCTTACACCCCCCCCCTCCCTACTTCTCCCCTTCCCTTCCCTTTCTTC